GAAGTGGAGGACTCCCACGGTGTGTGCCAAGTGCCATGGAAGAGTCGGGCAAAGAGGCTCAGGGATCGTGTGTCGGTGACAGAGGAGGTGTGTCGGGCAGGGAGGGGCCCGCTCCACAAGGACACGGAGATGGGAGCGCACAGCTGGCCTGGATCTCCTCTCCAGACCCGAGTTCGAGTCCTCCGTCCTTCTCACCCGCACGTCCGTCCCGCCTTCAGCCCGGCCTGCCCGACCCTCCCGGTGCCCGTCCAGCCCATGCTGCTGCCCAGCCCGTCCCCCTAGAGTGCACCACAGCGACGGAAGCTCACCGCCTCCAAATTCACCGCCACGAGCCCGCAGCCTGGCACCCTGCCCCTGCCCACCTCACTTCCCGTCACACCCCCCACGCACAAGCACGTCTGATCTGGCGAAAGGGGACAGTGCCCACGAGTCATAAAACCTGTCCCGTGCTCTCCTGCTCTGTGCCTGCACCTACACTGTCCCCTCCTCCGGACCCTCCACGCTTGTCGGTCACCATGGTAACAAGGGAAAGAAACACCCAGTCCTGGCGGCAGGGAGAGCATTCTCCCGGCTGGGCCACCGGCACCAGGACCCAGCCCAGACCTCTCTGCACCTTCCCGACCAGCCCCGGCCCTCCGCTCACTCTCCCATAGCAGCCATCCGTCTGCGTGGCGGCTCCTCCCCAACCGCAGCTCGGGCTGCACCCTGTCCCCTTTCTGTCTCTTCTGACGCCTGGCAGAGCCAGTGCCCCAGAGCCGGGGACTGGACACGGAACCGTCCTGAAAGGGCCGCAGAGACACCGTCCGTGCCTTTCCGTTCCAGCAATGCCAGCTGACGGCAGAGACCTGCCAAGGGCCCGCCTGGGGCCGGGGGACCATGCGAAGCATCTCGTGGCCCTGGTCTCACTGAATCCACGCACGACCCTCTGATGCAGGTCACTGCCCACTATCCCCTTCATTTTCAACGAGGAAGCTGCCCCTGGAGAGTCTGACCGGCCACACCGCTGCTGCCAGAAGTCAGTTCTGTCCTCCGCCACCCACACGGCACTTGCGATCAACGCAAAGGAAGGAGAGAGCAATGATGTAAATGATCAAACTTCTACAGTTTCTACTACGCCAGTCTAACAGTCCTGAAAACTCTTGCTGAAGAAGGGGCACCAGCCTCTCCCGAGGGCTTCCTCCACACCAGGGCCGGTCTTCTCCTGAGACCCCGCGTGGCCCGGCGAGAACCCAGGAGGCCAGCGGGGCGGCTACCCCCCTTCACGGTGCAGGAACCGAAGCACTGAGTTTAAAGAACTGAAATGAGATTACACAACACCCGTGATGCCTCCTTTAAAAAGAGAAAATCAGCCTGTCTGGGCAGTTCAGTTGGTTGAAGCATCATGGCCGTGTGCGCCAAAGGCTGCGGGTTCTATTCTGGGTCAGCGCGCACCCCCGGGTTGTGGGTTCGATCCCCGGTCGGGGCGGTTGTGGGAAGCAACCCATCTGTGTTTCTCTCTCATGCTGACGTCTCTCCCCCACCCCCTTCTCTCTCTCTCTCTCTAAAAAGCAATCAACAAGTCCTCGGGTGAGGGTTAAAAGTTAAAAAAAAATAGAATTAGATATAACTCAAATTCCAGAAAACATCCGGGGCACAGTAATTTTGCACTCCAGCTACAGTCACAGGTCCGCACAGGAGGCTGACACGCAAGGGCGGGGCCTCACCACGCGAGCAGGAACGAACACGGGCCACACACGCGGGCAGAGTGGGGCTCTCAGCTCCTGCACCCCGGCCGCCCAGTGCTCCCCGAGTGCAGCAAGGCCCGTCCCTCCCCCCGCCCATGAGCCTGGCCACCGAGTCAGTCCCAGGGCAGCCCGGCAGCCGCCCCGCCCCCCAGCTCCCCGGAACACACCCCAGCGAGGGGTCAGCTCCTCCCGGACCAGACTCTTTATTTCCCACAACCCAGTCTGTGTTTCGGGCCCTCGGTGTCCTGGCACCGAGGGGGCATTCTCACTGGCCATGGGAACAGAGGTCCTGAATTTGAATCCTTAGCACCAACCAATCAGCATCTCCCCCAAAAGCGCAGAGGGAGAAGTGACCCGACCTGCAGCTGCCCAAGCCCCTGAGCGACAGTTCCTTTTAAGGGAGCGCCCTGCAAGTTCACGGGGGTTCATGTGGACTGAGAGAGACCGGCGCATTCCACCACTGTGTAAAAATAACTTTAAATAAAAATAAAAACGTGTGCCTGTGAACCACCAACCCACGGCACCAGGAAAAACCGCCACGAGACCACGGAGACAGGGTGCAGAACGAACAGAAGGACCAGAGAGGGCGAAGATGCCGGCCGGGCCCAGAGGCGAGGTGGCCCCGGCCCCGCCGAGACCTCGATGCCCAGGCATCTTCCTAGCGCGCACACCGCAACTGACACAGCACGACACCTGCTGCATTTAAACCCAACGGCGAATGACTTCGAAACCCAGCCACACTTCCCAGTCACCACAAAACAGCCCCCTCGGGCCGGGAGGAGCCCTACTCTGCAATTTGAAACACAGCCTTCTGCCAATTAAAAAGAAAAGCCTTTGATTCAGGTTAAGAGACTGCTATGAAAGGCCTGTTCCATGCACCGTCTCGTCCGACCCCAACTGGGACAACTGGAGCATTCTGACCACAGAAAGGGAAAGTGTTTCTTAGGCCGGTGGCAAGTAAAAATGTACTTAGACTTCTGGACATGAGACCTTGTCGGCTTGTCAGGATGCGCTGCTGTGAGCGACTGCCAGCGCGCTTTCTAAAAAGACAGGACAGCGCTGCCCAGCACGCCCTCTGCTGCCACCCACACCTCAGTCCGGGAAACAAAACCAATCCCATTATCCTTCAACCGCCACCGGAGAGGCCAAGTGCCTCCCCGCAATCACAGTGTTGGGACTCGGCCAAGGCCAGCAGGAGGGGCGGCGTGATTCCACAGCCTGTTCTTTCCCAGCACAGTGTAAAGGCTCCATGCGGTGGAGAGTGTCCGGTTCACAAAGTATTGTCTTGTCTCGCAACCTCCCCCAAATAAACCAGCGCGGTAACGTCAGCCGCTGAGCAGAACGCCGGTGGCCAGCAACGCCGGTTATTCGTGGTACACCCGTTCGCTGCACAGGACAAGGGTGACAGGATCTGCCGAGTGTCACCGTGGCTGGGTGAGCTATCTGGCTAAGGTGTTCTGGTCTTTGCGTTGTTTCCTGGTTTCACTTAAAAGCACTGCGCCCTGGAGAACAAACCGCTGCTGAATTATGGCCATGAACTATGTGGTCTAGTAAAGTGGAGTTCAGCCAGTCCCCAGTATTTGTACAGGATCCTCTGGTATGAAGGTCACCTTTGCTCAAAAAAAAAAAAAAACCCAAACCACAATAAACAGAAACCCTGCTAGATTAATTTGCCTTTCCCTTTAAATAGGGATCTCCAGTTTCGTAGGCAGACGGGACAAGGGAGGCCCCTCACAGCCTGTCAGCAGAGCTGCTCGGCTCCACGGTCTTCCTGCCACTCAAGGGCACTTTATTTCTATTAATGTCCCATCAACAGAAGCTCAGTGCTTGTGTCCCACAGCAGAAAACACACCTAGTGTTTCGCTCTGACACCGGCAACATGCCTGCCGGCAATCAACAAAAGGTCTCCTGGCAACTGCCAGGCAGAGAAACTGGGCAAAGATTTTCTTTCTGTGGAGACATGAAACTCTCATTCAGTTGGGAAAGATGGATTTTGTCACTTATTATTCTCCGAAATGGAAGTGCCACATGGAGACCATAATGGGGTAAACTGCACCTCGGAGCCACGTTCTATGTATGCGCCAAGTTACAAGCCAGAGAATACAAGGGGTTTATTAACGGAAAGACTGATACCATCTTACTACAGTGGCCTCTCTGTAGCCCCGGACAATGATCTGTTGAGGGTTTTCCAGGGATTTTGAATGTGCAACCTCCAGACAAGCCCCTCTGAAGGGGCCTGGCTCGGGGCTGAACAATCCCTCTTCGGAAAGAAAGCCAAAAGGGCCCCCCTTCCCCGACCCCCACCCCCCTGCCACGGGCTTCTGGGTGAGAGGCTGGCTCAGCCCCGCAGGCGTGGGAAGTCTCAGACTTCAGAGACAAAGGAGGAGGAATGGTGGATGGGCCGGAGAGCGGGGGATCAGCCTGGGTCCACCTGCTCGGCCAAGTCCCAGACCCACGGGATCGGTGGTTCAGAGAAAGAGTTCAAAAGGCTGGGAGGCGGGGAGGCGGAAGCACAGGGTCAAGTCAGTTGCCCCGTGGGAAGGGAGGGAGCCCTGTGCCATCAAAGAGGTGGGGGTGGGCTGTCAGCTCCACGAAATCTCCTGGGTGGGGGGTGGCGTAAGACAGTTAAGGCAAAGTCACCCTCGGCCAGCACTGCCTGGCATTCCCTTCTTTCGCGGAGCGGAAGGCAGCTCTTACTGAGAAAGGGGTCCTACCACCCCCCTTAAGCCCACCCACACCCCTGGGATAACTCTGTTAGGGCCATTTCCAAATTCAGTCGACCCCAGGGGGTACCTCTGATCCCCGGGATCGCTCAGCTACGCAGACCCCTCCCGTGTTGCACTGGCTGAGTCTGAACCAGGCCTCCCCACCCCCGACACCCGCGCCCAACCCCAAAGCTCATCTCACGACCGCACGCCGGGCCCAGCTAGGGGCACTCGGCCCCCCCCCCAGCCACCCCGGCACCCCCCACAAATGCTCTCCTGAAGTTCATGCCCAGCTAGTTCACTCAGCCCTTCAAATCCCGGTCTAAGACCCCAATAACCGCCCCAGTCTCCATGTATCCCTCCACCTTCCCCTGAAGCTCCCCCCAAATCTCTGCCCAGACCCAGCCCTCGGCGCCCGCAGTCCGGTCTGCCGTCCCCAATCCTCGACCACAGTCCCCCTCGGCCCCCCAGCCCCGTCTGCGGGCGCTCTTCCCCGCTCGGCCCGCGCCCGGCTCCCTCACCCCCGACGCCCTCGCGGCCCCCCAACACCCGGCGCCGCCCGCCGGCTCACCTCCTCCATCTTCTGCACCATCTCCGCCAGCTGCCCCTCGTCCTCCAGCAGGTCGTTAAGCTGCACCAGCGACAGCCCCGCGAACCGGGCTTCGCCCCCGGCGCCCGCCATCCCCGCGTCTCGGGCGCCACCACCGCCGCCGCCGCTCCAGCCGCCAGGCTCCGCCGACCGGAAGGGCCGCCCTCAAAGCCCGCCCCCGAAGGGGGGGACACGTGACGCCAGCCCTGTGGCGTGACGTCATCGCCGGGCGGGCGGGGGCGGAACCGGCCCTCCACGTGGAGGGACGCGGGAGTCGGTGGGGTGTCTCTGCGAAGGTGGGAGTTCCTAAGGGAAGGGAAAGGGGCCGTGGGGCCAGCTTGTGACATAGAAAGTGGCAGCGATGATGTCACTGTCCCCAGGGCACGCACCATGACGTCATAATAGCCTTTTCCTCGAGGAAAAGATATTCAAAGACCCGGAGAAAGGGGCGGAAAGAAGGAAGTTACCGCTGCAGCCTGTCCAAGCCCAGCAGGGCCCACGGGAGCCCACAGAGGGGACCTCATGGCTTCTCCAGATCCGGGGGCCGCCAAGGCTTTCGCTCAACCAATGTTTATGGAGGCCCATGTGTGGACTAGGCTTGGGTTCCAGGGGTGTCTCTGGGCCACACAGTAAACACACTGCCACGCGTAATCACAAAAAGAAACTCATAATGTTTTAAGTAAGGTTCCGATTTTGTGTTGGGCCGCGTTCATGGCCATCCTGAGCCGCATGCCGCCTGTGGACCGCGGGTTGGAGGCCCCTGGGTTACACCGCCGGGCGTCAGAGAGAAAGGATGCCTTCCGTGGGGAGCTAACGGTCCAGCTGGGAAGCAAACAAATCACATGGCTACAAGCTGGGAGAGGCTAAAGAAGGAACTGAATGTTGAAATAAGAGGACAAGAGGGAAGCCCTGACCTGACTCAGTGGGTTGAGTGTCATCCCTCAAAGCCAAAGGCCGTAAGGTCCCAGGTTCGATTCTTGGGCAAGGCACATGCCTGGGTTGCAGCCAGTCCCCGTTGGAGATACGTGAGAGACAACCTATCCACATTTCTCTCTGACCTCGAAGTTTCTCTCCCTCCTGTCCCTGATCTCTGAAAATAAATAAATAAAATATTTTTCTTTTTTAAAAGAGGCTAAGGGGGAACTTTCAGAGAATGAAACATGGCCCCTCAGAGAAGGTGGCCTCTAAGCAGAGCTAACGAACCAGCCCGGGGGCAGGCAGAGCAGCCCGTGCAAAGGGTGAGCTTGGTCCGTCCAAAGACGGGGCAGGGGGCCAGACGGCTGGGTCGCCACCAGCAGGGACCCATGCTCGTGGTCCCTTTGCACCCACTCAGAGGAAGGCGCCTGGACATCCAGGTGCCCAGCCTGTGCCCTTTTTTACCGTGTGGGGTGTGATTGCTCAGTCTCCCCCGCTATCTGGAAGTCGCCCGAGATCCAGCAGCCCGGGGACTCATCCTGCTTTGGAACCTGCCACAGTTGTTGAAAGGGTCCTAAGTCTGAGATCCACTGCTGCAGCCCCCTAATTTTTAAAAAATATTTTATTTATTTACTTTTAGAGAGAGGGAGAGAAACATCAGTGTGTGGTTGCCTCTCATGTGTCCCCTACTGGGAACCTGGCCTGCAAACCAGGCATGTGCCCTGACTGGGAATCGAACCGGAGACCCTTTGCCTCACAGGCCCGTGCTCAATCCACTGAGCCACACCAGCCAGGGCAGCCCCCTAATTTTACACGGAAAGAAACTGAGGCCCCAGGACAGGAAGTTCGTTTTTGTTTCTTTGTTTCCAAAATCAAACAAACAAACCAGCAGGTCCAGCACCCAGGCTGGCGTCCACCATGCCGGCACCGTGCCCCACCGGGCTGGTCCTGTAACTTGGCCCTGAACACAGTGCAGGCATTCAGGGGCCGCTCCTCGGCCGCCTGGGGCGCTCTGTGCATGAGGACGATGCTTCTGCGTCACCGTCTGGGGGACACAAGGTCTGAGTTGTCCGTCCACACGTGGGGCTGCGCCCACCGTCCTCTCTCCTCCCAGCCTCTCGTGACTAAGGGCACGCATTTGTCGAAAAATGAGGAGACTTAGACAAAGCTTGTTGTGTTATCTGCAGGTAAAAGTTTTCATGGTGTTCACTAGTTTTCTTCCTTTAAACTTGTTATAGTCGATCGGAAAAAGTGGCTTTGAGGCCTGGCCAGGTAGCTCTGTTGGTTAGAGTGTTAGCTCAAGACACCAAGGTTGTGGGTTTGATCCCCAGTCAGGTCACCTACAAAAACCAATCTGGTGAATGCATAACTAAGTGGAACAACAAATTGATGTTTCTCTCTCTGTCTCTCTAAAAATCAATTTTTAAAAAAAAGGTGGCTTTAAGAGAAAAGGCAACAAAAAAGAGGAAGAGGGAGTAGAAAGTCAAATTTATGGTCAACATACTAGCTCAGTTCCTTTTTTTTTTTTTTTCTTTTCTCTCCAGGAAAAAGATGCACCTGCCAATTTGGAAATAGTAGCTGTGTTTCCAGAAAATTGTCACCTGTGAGGCTGAGGATGTCCAGAAATTCCTCACAATCCCTACGGAAAGTGAGCATGAGGTCAGGGGCCGGAGCGCTCCAGGACGGAGAGGGGACGGGTGACTTGGCTGAGAACTCGCACCGAGAACAAGCCGGCTTCTCGGCCGCACACCTGCGTACGGACGCCCGGTTCCAACGCGGCCCTTCACGGCTCAGCCTGCCTCGTTCTTTCGTGCCTCTTCTGAAACCTGCCTTTTGCCACCGACCTATTCAAGTCGCTCACCACTTCCTTAGTCAAGCAGGGCAAACCGCAGCAAAAAAATCCTGCTTCCTGCTGCCCCAATACTTCTTGTTGCTCTCACAAGTGGTTGAAAATAGAAAAGAAACAGAAAAGTCCTTGAATTACTGTTAGGCCTATCCGTTTAATGCATAGGTGGACGTGTACATTCCCCCCCTTTTTTCTGGCCGACCCGTACGGTATCTGAGTTTCTCTGCACACCTCCCGCTGCCTGGAACACTTGTGGGCCAACTCAGGTTCTGCCCTGGCTGATCGAGGGCCCCATATGTAGGTGCCAGCGCCTGTCTCTCAATGGAGGCATTGTTACCCCAGTAACGAGCCTTGTGTTACACAACCCCGGGAACTATTTGGAAAGCACCCTTCAAAAATTAAAAAAAAGAGAGGACATAACCTTCACAGAGCCGAGTCCTCAAATCCACAGCCTTGAGATTGGCATTCTTTCTTTCTGATGCAAGGTAGTAGGATTATTCATGAATGTTTTCCAGTCTGAGGAGCTGGGAGGCACCGCGGTGACCCGGTGACGAGGTGTCTGTGACACAGGCCGCACCACTGTGGGCGAGCAGGGGAGGGGCAGCTCCCCAGGGCGGCAGGTGGGACAGTCCTACCCCTCGCCGGACACGCAGCCTGAGGTCAGCAGCCTGGTCACTGTCATCTGCTGGTGTCTAAATGCCCCACGTGACCTAAGCACCAGTCATCAAGAAGGAAAAAAAAAATTTTACATGCAGTCACTGCTTTGGAGGGGGAGAGAAGGTGTAAAAATAGAGAGTAATGTTTTTAAAATGATATTTAAGGTTGGTGGGGTGTGGGTGCGTTCATTACAAAGGTGGAAAGTTTGGGAAGCTTGGTTATTTTGATGGGAGGTCTGGCTGTTTTAGATTTGGGGATTTTTGTAAATTTTTTATTCCTGTGCGGGGTTTATTAAACTATTTCAGTCATAGAGAGAGAGAGAGAGAGAGAGAGAGAATATAACAAGGACTCTACTGGGTTAGGGGTAAACATCACAGCGTGGTCCAAGCCCCCAGGTCCAGAAACTTAATAAATCCATAGACTTCATAAAAATGATACATGCGGACATCTTCCTGCTCTTTGCTTTTTTGGACCAACATTAAGCTCCTGAAACGTGTCCTGGCTGGTTTGTGTAGCTGGAAATGGTCTTTTCCCATAACCCTTCCCTCGGTGGCTGGTGGACAAGGTGTTCACGTCTTCAGCCAGACAGGACATCCCCAAATCCGTGTCCAAAGTGATACCCACCGTCGTTGCTTGTGTGGCAGTGTTATTGTCATGAAATACACACAGTGTCACACTTACCGTTGAAGCCGCCATGAGTGCCTGGCTCAGTGGCATCAAGTGTGAGCCTGCGTTGCACAACCGTCGCCACCGTCTGCCTCCAGAACTGAAACTCCGCGCTGATTGAGCAATAGCCTCCACGTCCCCTGCCCCAGGCCTGGTGACCCCCTTTCTGCTTTCGGGCTCTATGAACTTGACCGCCCTGGGGACCTTGCCCGAGGGGGACCCTCTGTCACTTGTCCCTTTGTGACTGGCTCACTCCACCTCACTGTCTTCGAGGTTCATCCACGCTGTAGCCTGGGTCAGGATGTCCTCCCGCTCAAGGCCAAGTGCCAGTCCCTTGCAGGCCCCGCATGCCATTCATCTCTTCACCTGCCGACGGACATCTGGGCTCCTCTTTCCTTTGTCCACGGTGAGCAAAGCTGCTATGAACACGGGTCTGCAGACACCTGTTTGCAAAGTCCCTGCTTTCCATTCCTTTGCGGATAGGTCCACAGAGGGAATTGCTGGATCATGTGATATCTTTAACTCATTTCTTTAATCCTCACTTGGGGATATGTTTATTGACTTGAGAGAGAAATATGGATGTGAGAGAGAAACATCAATCAGTCGCCTCTTGTAAGCACCCAGACCGGGGATTGAACCTGCAGCCCAGGTGTGTACCCCGAAATCTTTCAGCGCACCGGACGACACCCAACCACCCGGCTACCCGGCCGGGGCTGATATCAACTGTTCAAGGAGCCGCCAGACTGGTCCACACAGCAGTCGCTCCCTTTCACCTTCCCACCGGCCGAGCGCAAGCCTTTTCACTTCTCCGGGTCTGTGCCAACGTCTTGCTTTCTGTTCTATTTTTTTTTTTTAAACAGTAGCCATCCTGGTTCTCTCTTTTTTTAAAAATCAGTGTTCCTTGTGCCAAAAAAAGTCAGCTTTGAAGGATGTGCATTGCGTTTGCCACTCAGTACGGGTCGCGGCCGGATGTCTGTAAAGTTCCAGAAACCAATTACTACCTATCAAGGTGACCTTTCTTCATCCCTACAACCCGGGAAGGAATATGCAAAGAGAGTTGTGGATGAGTAGAGTTTGAATGTCTCCA